GCCCCCGTTCAGCTCCGTCGCCACCTTCCTCCAACAGGGGAGATAGCAGGAAGTGATGAAGTCCAACCGTGGAGGAAGAGGAGGATGGAATGCTGCGGGTCCATTCGTAGAACTGACTGACTGACTGACTGACTGACTGACTGACTGACTGACTGACTGACTGTTTTTGAGCGTCGACCAAAACAGGTCACGACAGTTTGATAAAAACCGACAAAAGAAGAAGTCGTTGAATAAACATCACGTCAATGTCTGCTCTGTCCTGAAGATGAAGATGAAGATGAAGATGAAGAGGAGAAAAAGTATCTACGGATGTTCTCCACCTTTGATGAAGAGACAACTGAGAGCCAAGGCCGTTTAGATCAGGTTTTTCAAAGTTGGGGCCACTAGGGGAGGCGCTAGGGGAGGCTCAGAAAATTGGAGGGAAGGAAAAAAAAAAGTCAGGGGCAGTTATTATAGTTTGACTGTTGTACCAACATAGGGGGCGCCACATTCCTTCATGTCTCCATCGTACGCTTCTTCTTCTTCTTCTTCCTAGTCTCAAACAGGACTGTTGTTGGGATTTGAACCCAGTTCAGACCAAAGAATCAGCCACAGCGCCACCAACTGTCCAACGCACATGAGCCAAACGCACGATAAACTGATCAGGAAACGAGATTTAAAATGTCATCAGGTTGTCGACGTAAACATCCTGAACAAAGGCCGTTCCTCACACACACACACACACGCACGCGCGCGCTCAGACCCAGCAACCGTGGGGAGGACGAGGACGAGGACGAGGACACGCAGGAACAGATTAAGTCCAAATCGATGGCTGGACTGGGAGAGAGATTTCAGCCCGGCTTCTCGTTAAGACCTGACACGTGCGGCAGAGGCTGCGGGGAGTGTTATTACCGGGGTGATGGTTGATAAGACGCTCGTTTCTCCACGCCGCGTCCCACGGGAAAATGCGCGGCGCAGCCATGGAAACCATAAGGCTAGGTGTTCTGCTCTAATTGGGCCAGTTTTTTCAACGCTGCAGCTGCACTGCCAGGTACGGCGCTGTCTTCAGATGAGGAATTACTGTGGAGCAGGAGCGGGGAGAGGGGGGGGGGGGGG